GGCTGGAAGTCGTCAAGTCTGCGCGCGAGACGATTCGTAATGACTCTCGAAAACAGCACGTAGACGCGGCTCAGAAGGGAAATTGATCTGTAGTTCTTCAAGAGAGCGTTGTCACCTTTCTTGAAGAACAAGACCACCGCACTTCTGCTTCACGCCTCCGGTGTAATGCCACCATGGAGGACGGAATTGAAGAGCTTCTGAAGGACTTCAAGTACCGGTCTTCCACCCGCTTTCAGAAGCTTCGCTGTAATCCATCCTCGCCTGGGGCCTTGCCGTTTTTAAGGTGCTGGAGAGCCATTCTAATCTCGCTCAGACTGACGCCGGGATATCTTCGGAATAGTGTCGGATAAGACTCGCTCTTGGATCGTTACTCACACTTGCGTGTGGCTCCAACGATGACGTGTACAGCTGCCCATAGAACCTCTCAATCTCACTCAAAATCTCAGGTGCCCCGGAAACGATGCTGCCACACTCGGTCTTTAGCTTTGACATTTGGCTCTTTCTGGCAGACAGATCTCTAGCAAAGACTTTGGAGCCTTGGTTTCGCTCGATCGCTTCTTCAATACAAGCTGTATTGAAGTTGCGTAAGTCCCGCTGCATGCATTTGGAGATCTGTCTGTTCAGTTGCCTGTATGCTGTCAAATCTGTTGAAGAATGTAGCTTCATCTCCCGTCTAACAGCCATGAGATTGAGAGTGTGATCGGAGAGTTTCTGTGTTCTTCTGCGGTGGGTCTTGCAGAACTTAGCTTCGACCGCATGGACAGTTTCCACGAGCTTGTCATTCATATCGTCTTCTAGGCACTGAAAACTGTTTTGTAACTCAAGCTGAAAGGTTTCGGGACTTTAGAACAGAGCACGAGGGGGACGGAGCGTTGACTTCATTAGCCGAGACCTTTCCAACTTAACGTTTAGGTTCAGTGTGCTTCTGACTATTCGGTGATTGCTACTAGTTTTCACCCTCGCGATCACGGAGACATCTCTGAACAGTTGTCGTCTGGTCGTCATAATGAAGTTAATCTCATTTTTTGTCGAACCGTCGGGGCTTGACCAGGTCCACTTCCTGTGGGGCCGCTTCTGGAAGAAAGAGTTAATCACAAAGAGTCCCTCTTTCTCCATGAAGTCGGCCAGCTGCTGGCTCCTTGCGTTCCGTTGCCCTATTCCAAATTTCCCTACTTTCAGCTCACCATTCTCTCTTGTGCCTAGTTTTGCATTGAAGTCTCCCATTAACACCGTAGAGTGGATTTTGGAGTAATGCATGGCTCTAGAGATATCCTTATACATTTCCTCCACCTTCTCATCGGGGTCTGCCGAGGTTGGTGCGTAAACCTGTATGACCTTCAGCGAATACCGTTTGGTGATTTTGAGTATAAGGTACGCAACCCTCGTCGATACTCTCTCAATCTTTACAACGTTGTTAACGAGAGACGTTAAGTGTGGACGGTAAATCAGACACCACCTTGGGACAGACGGTCGCCCTCCCGGTGATAAAGCAAGTTGCTGGATTCGAGGATAATCCTATAATATGCCAGCATAACTTGTCTACCTCTTCTTTCGGCTCCACGATCTTCTTGTCAGTCCTCAGGGTGCGTGTGTTGTATGTTGCCAGGTCGAGTCGTCGTAGGTAGCAACTGAACCTCCACCGGAGATTCTTAGCACCCTCTGCCCTGCCGTTACCATGGTCACCACCGTAGCCAGGAATAGCGGGGCCGCCGGGGACTGGGGGCCGTTTCTTTGTTACTCTCATATTAGGGGGGTATTTGCCATAGTTGCCACGCTTGGCGAGTGGGTTAGCAACCGCAGTTTTTTTTATTGTAAGTTTGTTGTTATCAGGAACATGCTGCTGCCCATCCTGCCTGTTTCCCTTTGTCGCCTTTTACGACACCCACGGGAAGATATGGGGATATTCTTAACCGCCACTACACGGCACATATAATATATATATATATACAAAATTCGTAGGCTGGGATAGAGGGGGTAATATGCCCAGTCCATATGCTTCTAAACTTCTAATTATATTTCTAGTTAGTTTGTAGCAAAGACTACAATGTTATATAGGGAAGTTTGTAGTTTGTGATATTTACTTATCTATGGTCTGTGAACAAAAGCAAAACAACTTTATTAACAGATTTTATATGGACTTGCTGCGTTCGGAATCCCGAATCGGAATATCGAAACGGAATCCCGAAACGGAATTCCGTATGTATGTGGCTGGCCTAATATAGGGAATAATATATGGTTCTGTGCTTCTGTGACTCTGCGACAAGAACAATATTATCTCTGTAGGAGTAATAGTACGGATTGACATTGAGTGAAAAAAATCGATTATTAAAAAATCGATTTTTTGCTTTGTGATATTAATCGATTAGGAAAAATCGATTTTTATTAAAAAAAAAAACGATTTTTACGAAAAAAATTATTTTATTCGAAAAAATGCCTTCTTTCCTATATATTAATAAAACTTCGTAGTTTTGACTATAGAATCAACAATTTATCAGAATAAAAATCAAATAAAATGATAAATATAAAACATAATCAAAACGACAATCTTCTGGTTTTAAAACTAAACTACAGAACAATTTTTTTAACCTTTAATATTAAAGAATAAAAAACTAAAAATAATTACTGCCACAAATGTTCAGTGCCATTTAACAATTTATTAAAAAGATACGATAAAGAAACTAATTTTTACAGATTTTATCGCGTTTAATTTAACTTTTTAATTGCCGACGTTTCGGGTGCTTTAAACCATGGTCACAGGGGGGCTGAGGTGTTTGACGTCCCTGTCATAGTTGAACCACAAATCCTCGCAAAAGAACACCGATTCATACCAAGTATGATTCGCGAGGTTAGTAAAATTAAAAAATATCCTAATTTCAAGAGAGAAGATGGATATATAAATAATAAAATTAAATCCAAACCCAAGCATACCACTGTAAGCTTCAAGATACTGTAAGCTCATTCTGCGTAGATCGGACCAAAAATTAATATTCAAAAACTGAAGGTAGCCAGGCTAACTATGACATCGGGACGTCAAACACCTCAGTACCCCCCGTAACCATGGGTGCTGTGAAGCACCCGAAACGTCGGGAATTAAAAATTTAAATTAAGCGCGATAAAATCCGTAAAAATTAGTTTCATTTAATGTGTAGTCTTCGCGTAAATATAAGAAACCATTAAGAAACGATAAGCTTAGTAAACGATAGTTTTTTCAAACTAAGTTTGAACAAACGAAAAGTTTAAATATCATTATGCCACAAATGTTCATTACCATTTACATTGGATTAGAATGAAAATAAAATAAAACTATAAATTTAAATAGTCAAACGACAACATTTTGGTCTCAAAACTAAAATAAATCTTTTTTAAACTTTAAGTTTAAACAAAAAAACCTTAAATAATTATTGCCACTAATGTTCAATATCATTTACATTGGAGTAGAATGAAAATAAAATAAAAATATAATTATAAATAATCAAACGACAACCTTTTGGTCTCAAAACTAAAATACAAGACAAATCTTTTTTTAAACTTGTGTAAACAAACAAAGAGAAAAATATTATTACCATGAATTTTCAGTTAAAGAGTTTTAAAACAATCATTTCACAAAAATTCTTCTTCGTCCCTTTCCCAAAATACGGTTTCGTTTTTTTCTGACATTATTTCCTGCTTTCAAAAATAATCGTTCGGTTGGCGCGGAACTGGCCATCACAGGGAGGTGTTTAAGAGCCAATTCGGTTAGTTTAGGGAAAGTCCCTTCAGAGCTTCTCCATATATTGAGCGCATCTGCCTTGAGATTTGATAGTGGTGCCGCAATATATAGATCCAATTCAGTATTTTTGTCTATTGACCTGTTAGCCGCTATCATTTTTTCATTTAAAAATACTTCTGCCAGTCACTTTTAGGCGTTTTACAAGACATTTTTATTGTTATATATAATTGTTTACACTAACTAAAGAAAGAAAGAAACCACAGAATACTTTTACGCCTAGCGGAGGAAAAAACTGTTGAAAACATACAAAAGGCGAAACTGTTTTACATACATAGAGATACATAAAGGTCTTTTGATCGACTTGTTCATGTTAGTGAACTTACTTCGCATTTTTTCATCTGTCGCACAGATGACGCTGTTCTTTTGATTGACTTATTCATGTTTCTTGCTGGTTCTTCCCAGAACAGAGGGTTTTTTTTTTCGAACCAGTGGTAAAGTAAAAAATGACTTTCATTAAAAAATAATTCTATTCTATTCTGTTATTGAACTTACTTCACGTTTTTACATCCATCACACACATGAGTCTGGTTACAAAAATCGATTAAAAAGCGTAATTTACATAAAATATAATAAAATAATTTATAATAAAATCGATTTTTATTATAAAAAAAATCGACTTTGAAAAATCGATTATAAAAAAAAATAATCGATTAGTATTAAAATCGATTATTTTATCACATCCCTAAGTAATAGTGTTCTGTGAATATTATCAACAACAACAATCAATAAATAAATAACATATTATATTATATATTAATATATATATATACTATAACTATAATAATAAATTTGACGTAGGTAATAAGTAGTGCTAGATTTAAACATTCTCATTAATTTATAATTATTGAGAAATATTAAATATTTTTATAATTAAAGTGCATTCATATTCACAATATCGCAACAGTCCATTTAAAATCTTCAGCAAAGTGCAAACCAAAAAACGGAGTTACTCCTTGTGAGAAACGACGGTGAACGTTATTTTATCAGAAAAGTTTATCGTATTTAGGAGACGTGACTGATTTGTTTTGATAAAAGCTGTTATCATTAAACCGCTGTTTAATAATATTTATCATTAATGATAAGAAGCTGTTCACGGGCACATTTCATTAATACATAATGGTGATGAAGTTGTAAGACGATTATTACTGTTACTATATCAAATACAATTTGCGTTTAATATTGTAGGAAAGAAGACGCAAGAAAAAGTTATTTAAGTTTAAATCCAATTAAAATGCCTTCTATTCAAGGAAAATATCAGCATTATAAGAATGAGAATATAGATGATTATTTTACTGCAGTTGGTGAGTACTCCTATTTCAACTGTATCTATCTGGGTTTTGTGATTATTCTCATTAACTAAATGTTTGTCTAATACCAAAAAGGTGTACCATTTATGGGTAGAAAAATGATGGCAATGTCTTCACCATTGATGGAAATAACTTTTGATGGTGAGAATATGAGTATTAAGAACTCTTCTTTGCTCAGAACAGTGGAATTGAAATTCAAAATTGGCGAGGAATATGAAGAGCACATGCCTAACACTACAATCAAGGTATTATAAGATTACTTATTACTTATTATTCTGCCTGAATACTCATTATATTTCCATCTGAAAATAGCACTCACCATTGTAGCTTCTCTGACACACTGGCCATACTGTTACTCTTTGATATATTTTGACCACATTTTCACTGCAATAACTGATTGCGATATGTTGCCAGCACCATTGCAACAATACTTTTAGTATTATGCGGCAATATAGCCAAACATGTTTTATAATTTTGCACCACCTTTGTTAAAGTTTATTTTGAAGTATTGTCTGATGATTGCTTCACAATCAAAACTAACGCTATATTGCTGGCTACTGTTGTTTCATTTTATGTCACATTTTACATCTTTCATGAGATCTAAAGTTTCCCAGTTATCACAATAATATGTTTAGTTGTTATATTTGTGCTTGTGTGTGAAGAAAAGAATTATTGACAATAGAAGTTACTTTAGACATACTTTTAAATTATTTAAATGCCTACAGTGAGGCATATCATTTAAGTCTTCACTGGTGACAATGTTTCTGTAGACTTCTTTGATTGACAACTTCAAAGCAGGTGCTTTTTACGTGGTAGAGCCATTCTACAGCTATATTAGTAGTATAGTTGTAGCACTAATGGGTCGGCTTGACTGAAGAAGGACCACGCTCTCACAGAAAACCAGTGTAAAATAGCAGCTTAACGCTGCTGTGTTTCGTATGGTGAGTGTAGAGAACCGGAGACCCTTTTTACTGGCAAAGAGGCATTCCATCTTAGTCCTCACGGGTGACAACGCATCTGCATTTTGAGTCTTTATTGAGGATAGATGTAGATGTCTATGGGTCACAGTAACCACTTACCATCAGGTGAACTGTGTGGTCGTTTGTCACCCTATCCTATAAAAAAAAACAAAAAGGTGCAGAGCTGCAGGTGTCCATGGGCTACAGTAGCCACTAAACACCTGACGGACTGTAAGATTGTTTGACATTAAGTATAAAAAAAATATGAAATTGGTTTGTGAAAAGTATCGTCAAAACTTAATACAAATTTTTTATTTACATTAAATGCAACACAGTTATACACTTAATCAATTTAAAGTTTTCTGATGTACTATATTTTTTGCTTTTCTTTGCGGTGTGTAAATATATAAAGATGATGTTTTTCTGACTTGTGAACACATGACGTATAATTGCCCATGCGCAAAACGGGGAACTCTCAAGTTGATTCCGCAAATTTTCAACTACTGGTCTTGTGATTTATTTATGGTCTTTGCAAAGGTCAGACGCATGGAAAATTGTAGACGCTTAAAATCGAACGGCAAATCCGTTGGAATTGTCGGTATACGCAGGCTGAAGACATCCTCTCCTTTGTATTTTCCCTTGATAATCTTGGCCACGATGACGTTATTCATTAGCTTTTTCATAGCCAGTCTCGTTCCATTGCACAGTCGAGGTTGATTAATGTTACGCAGCATAATCACAACTGATCCTACTTTTAATTGTAAATTGTGAGGTGGTAGTCCAGGCAAATCCAGGGAATTTAAAAAGTCTGTGGGATAGTTGACTTGTCATCCTGGTTTGTAACTGTGTCAACTGATTTCTAAGTAAACAACTCTCCTGGAAGAAAATTCTGAATGGTTGCATTGATATCATCGACATCTTTGTTTTTGGCCACCAATATTGCTCATTCACTCGGCCAATTATGGTTTTGAACTGTTGTTCTATGTCCATAAAAACACGCTGGATAAGCTCCTCTTTTGAGTTGTCGAAGTGACAAAAATCCATGGGAAGTGTACTTAATCCGGTCAAGGTGTCAACTGTGGCCTTACCATTTCCAATATTTAATAACTGCTTCAAAAACATAATCGCTGTTTGATCTTGTTGCAAAAATACCTGCATGTTAATTGTTAATTAGTCTTTACATGCCACCACAAATAAAATGATTTTAAGCATGCCTTTAGTTTGTCTGCAACAATTGATCAGGGAATAATTGGAAGTCTGACGAAAATCACCTGACAACAGAATCATAGCTCCACCAAAAATGTTTTTGTTGTCACGAAGATCTTTTAACATTCTGTCCAGTGACCTCTTATGGGCCATTGTACATTCATCCCAAACTATTAATTTGTATATCTATATAATCTTCGCCATTTCGCTGTTTTTGGCGATGTTGCAAACTCGTGCTTCATTGATTTGCATGTTTAGTGGTAATTTTAAGGCAAAATATGAAGCTTGTCCACCTTCTAAAAATGTTGCAGCTATTCCAGATGAAGCCAACGCTAGAGCTACTTCATTTTGCGATCTGATCTTTGCCAACAGCAAAGAGCATCAAGGAAATAAATTTAACCAGATCCATTGTTCACAGCTTCCATCAAAGTATCGTACACAATTCTTTGTTGTTCATTCAATTACGAAAACGGAACATTTGAACGAACTGTTTCGTCCAATACTTCAGTATTGTATTGTTGTTCTCTTTGCAACTCGTGGTTAAATACATCGTGCGTGGGATGATTGAGTGCTGTCATGCCCAAACACGACAATACTTTATTTACCATCAATAAACACGTATCTTCTATCATGATCAATGTAAGTTTGACAACGCACACAATGCAACACATCCTCAGACGTGTCATCCCTATATTTCATCCACAAATCTTCCGGATTCGAGGGGAAACATGTCGATATTATAATCGCAAACAATGTGCGAATTTAATGTGACGGAATCCTCAAGCGTATTATCTCAATGTGAATCGTTCTCGAGCAACTGTAGTAGTTGACACGCCTCATGGTAAGTCGCACACAAATATCAATCGACTATTCTCAGTTGTTGAAACGATGTTGGACCACGAACATTCACCAACAACAATTAAAGATAATAATATTCATCATTGATAATAATACATCCATTGTGTAGATGTGACCTAAAGTGTCTGAAGCAAATTTTGGGTAAACATTTGGGTGTCCTTCAACTGGTGTTCCTTGTTTCCGACGCTGAAACGATTTCGATATGTGGTCAATGGTGAACGTACCGCTCTATCTATCATCTATAAATACACTCGTTGGCCATTTTCTAGAACTGCCAAATGGACTACTGTAAGATGTCTTTCGTGGAACGCAAATGAAAATATGCGGCAAATAGTTTCGTTGCTGCTTATATAGCGACTCATCTGATACTGAAATACTTCATCATTGGCATTTGTTACAGTTGTACCTTTGTTAACATATTTACATACATTATTTATTAACGACGATTCTTTATTAAGATGGAGTTACAATATTCCATATCGATGTGGAATATTGTAACTCCCTAAATACAACGACAATAGCTACTTCGTCGATTGTCGGTTAATTTAAATAAAAGGCATTCGATCCAATGCCATTTTGACCATTTTGACTATAGTCATTGTTCTGATGAAGAAACGTTTGCAGTTCTTGAACAATGCATGCTCACTGTTGGATTATGAGCACAACGCCTGTCAACTTCCGTATCTTGATTACCCATAAAATAAATTTGCAAGAATTGACGATCCGCATCTGGCAGTGGCAGCAGCGCTCCCAGTAGGTGACGTTTTTGATAAATTATTTATTAAAAACAATTATGGTATACTACCTTGAAAGTAGGCATGGAATTTTCTTGTAAAATATGCGTTGCGCCAAACGACGTCATTTGAAAGCAATAATATGTTTTTGGATTTTGACCAAGAAATTTTACGGTTTTCGTCGGGGTCGATCAGCTGGTGATCTTCTGGTCTACTTAACTCATAGATGGGCGGAGGCAGTAGTGTCCAAGGGGGAGGCATTGGCCGTTAGTTTTGTACATTGCGAAAGCCTTCGATCGGGTTTGGCACAAAGCGCTTCTTTCGAAGCTCCCTTCCTATGGGCTTCCCGAGAAATTTTGCAATTGGATCACCAGCTTTCTTGCAGATCGGAGCATCAAGGTCGTAGACGGTGCATGCTCCGACTACAAGCCTATTAACGCTGGTGTTCCACAAGGCTGCGTGTTTCTTCTGCATATCAATGATATGTTGCAAACCGGTAGCATTCATTGCTATGCGGATGACAGCACTGGTGATGCTCTATACACCGGCCGTGCCGGTATTTCTCGGGAAAACGTCGCCGAGTACCGGAACAAACTTGTATCTGAAGTAGTAGAGTCTTTGCTGAACAAAGTCTCGGGTTGGGAGCGATAAAATCTAGTCCAGTTTAATCCTTTACCGCTTAAAAGAACCCTTTTGTCGTATCTCCTCAGTTTCAAGGCACTCCCCTTGTTGTCTCAGCCAGTATCGGAATCTTCGGCGTCGACATATCGAGTAACGTGCAGTTTCGTAATCACTTGGAAGAAAAGACCAAATTGGCCTCTAAAATGCTTGGTGTGCTGAGTAGAGTGGGACAGTATTTCATGCCGGCACACCGCCTGCAACTTTACAAGGTGCAGGTTCGGCCTCACATGGAATACTGCTCTCATTTCTGAGCTGGGGCTCCCCAGTGCCATCTTCTTCCACTTGACTCCATCCAGCGCAGAGTGGCTCGAATCACTGGAGATGCGAAGAGATTTTGCATCTCTTTGCGTACTTTATCGCATGTACCACGGGGAGTGCTCTGAGGAATTGTTCGGATTAATCCCAGCCGCCAAATTTCAGGAACGCACATCGCGGCAGAACTCCCGATACCATCCACACCATCTGGATGATTGGCGGTCCACCACTGTGCGATTTAGAAGATGTTTTCTTCCTCGCACAACTTCCTTGTGGAATGGTTTACCACCAGCGATTTTTCCGGACCGATACGACTTAGGGACCTTCAAGAAAAGAGTCTACTCCTTTTTTAAAGGCCGGCAACGCATCTGCAATTCCCCTGGTGTTGCGGTTGTTCATGGGCGGCGGTAGCCACTTACCATCAGGTGAGCCGCATGCTCGTTTTCCCCCCTCTCCTATAAAAACAAATGTTTAGAGTCATCTTCTTGATCTTGACGGCTACGTTGCGCAGTGGCTTAGCAATCAGTTGTTGCGCTGGGGGCAGCGGGGTCGAATCCCGCACGGAACAAGTATTTGTATGGCCTACAAATAATTGTTCCGGGTCTGGATGTTTGTCCTTGTGCAATTTATGTTTGTAAACTGCCTCCACGACCCAGGAGAAAATCCTAGTGTGTGGGTAACGTTTTTTAAAATAGAAAAGAAAATCTCCTACCCCATAAACCAATAAGCGTAATGGACCTGGTGGTGGAACCAGTTGTGGCAATTTTACTTTACCGCCAGCACAACATAATCCAGTAGATTCACCGCTGTATTTTAATGCGTTACAATGTTGACAAATGGTTCCCATTTCCCCAATTTTTACGGATTGGTCGGTACAATAATCTATTTTCGGGTCGTAGTTGAATGCTACTCGTTCCTGGTTTACAGGAACACTACGTCTGCGGAATCGCTCTATTTCATTGTGTCGTGCTCGCTGTTGTGTTTGGTGTGCCTGAACTCGTTCCATTCTAAGCCTATCTACTTCATTATTATTCACTGTGCAACGCAATTCTGCCAGACCAATACAAATTTTATTATTATCTGTCTCTCGCTGGTCGTCAGTGCGGTTTGAACGTGAGGTATCGCGTCGCACATTTGATTGACTTCGACAACCTAAGTCAAGTCGTCTTCTCCTTGGCATTTTAACACAATAACAATAAAAAAGTCCTTGCGTACTGACAAACTGATGATAGATTTTATTAATCATCTTGAGATTTATTTCATTTTCTCTTTTTGACAAGTAACTGACACATTTACCCTTTTTTTATTTCTGCAACAAAACAGACCAAAGAGATCGGACCTCATTTCACAGCTAGGAACATTTTGTATTGAAAAACTTAATTGTCGTTTTTAGTATTTTCTGTTTCTTATTATTTATGTTTCTCACCGTTCAAACCTTCCCTGAATTTCTACAAATATTTCAATATCAAAATTAGCCAAAAAGGTCTAGCCATTTTCTCTTATCAACTTTCACATTTTATTTTCACTTAACTTTAATCTTTATACTATTTTAAATATTACTGACACGCAGTAATAACATGTAAACACATACATAATGAATAATTTGTATATGTTTGTAGTGTTACTCAATATTTTTGTATTTACATTTTGTTACAGTAACATTACTAGCACACTTCAATAATTTTCACATAGTCATTAATATGGGACATTATTAGCCCTACCTAGTGCCCGAGTGTGTTTGAGGACAATAGATTTTTTTTATAGAAGAGGGGGCAAACCAGCATGCGTCTCACCTGATGGTAAGTGACTACCGCCGCCCATGAACAACCGCAACACCAGAGGAATTGCATGTGCGTTGCCGGCCTTTTAGAAAGGTGTAAGCTCTTTTCTTGAAGGTCCCTAAGTCGTGTCAAATGCTAGCTGGCATTATGTCCGCCCTTTGTTACCTTTATGGTAAAAGCAACAAATAAAATATCCACAGAATATTCTTTCAAGTTCTTAAGACGCCTAAGCAGACAAAATAACTGAAGTTTTATATCTAAACTGGAGCACTTGATTCATCGTTTCCACTTTCCACTAATAGTTCACATGCTACAAAAATCGCATCACTTTTACATATCATAATACACTACAAACCATTATTTAAACAATAGTTTTATTCTTTAAATAATGGTTGGGATCAATAATTTGCTGACGGTCCAGTTCTTGCTGCAAGTCCTAGTTTAAACTAAACTGAAAAATTATAATTTTTATTTCAGAGTGTTACAACTGTTGTCAATGATAATGAAATAAAGACCGATTCTATAATCCCACAAACTAATGAAAAATGTGGGCGGCATTATTTATTCACTGATGATGAATGCATTGTGGTAAGTATAATTAAAATAATAAGTATAATTTAATAAAAAAAAGTTACAGTTTTTTTTTATCAGAAAACAGATTTTATAATAACTATCAATGACTAGCTGTGCCCCGCGGTTTCACCCGCATCATCACGTGTCCGAGGTGCGCGACATGACCTAGTTCAAGCATTTTATAACGGCTAGGGTTTAAGCGTCGTTCGCGCGCCCAGCCAAGTATTGAATTATTTTAATTTTACATTATCTCTTAAACTATGCGTCCAAATAACATGGTATAAGGAACAAAGTTTATCTTCATAAAATTGTCTTGATGATGAAGTAACGTTAAAGTAAAGATAAATAGGCCATGTCTAATAATAACGCTCATAAATCACTTTTAAATTTTCAATATTTTTTTGTCACAAAATACCAAATTATGGCTTATGTATAAGAAATAGACATATGGTATAGCGGACTTTTTTTTAGAAGGAGTAAAGGTCTATATTTTTCCCTAACGATAACAGCAGCGTACGCGGATAAATCATTTCGGGAGTGCTTTTTCTTCTGACTTGCTTAATAAATATCCCAATTTAAGGCTAGCCAAGTAATATAGCTTAATGCTAGATAGCCTATACAATTCCACATGAATTTGGCTATAATATACAAAAAAAAAATTTCAAATCGGACTGCTAGTTCCAGAGATTAGCGCGTTTAAACAAACAAAAAACTCTTCCGCTTTATTATATTAGTATATAGATGTCAAAGCTTATTATCACATACAAACAACATTATTATATATAGTATTATTATATATATATATATATAGTCAACATATATTAGCAACTGAAAGATATGTTGTGATTAATGAAGTCAATTACATTTTTCCTTTTCAATTGTTGAAAAAATGTAAATATTTCAACGCCGTATTTACTTATTCGTGCAAGTGGTGTGGCGAATCATGAAGCGAATTTATGATGAGTGAACTCTGCATTCGCCTCGCGACTCGAGTCATCATTCGAGCATCATTTTGGGAGTAGTCTTTTAGATGTTTGTGACGTGGACATTCAAGTGGACCAGTGACGAGATGAACTTAGTTTTTATATACTACCATCCCTTACAGCCCTTGAAAAGTCCACGGCTAAATATAGGCCTCTTCCTATTACTATACAGGGTATTTTTGGAACGCCCCCGAAAACTAAGACAGACTACAGTACGAAGTACACCTTTGATGATGGGTGGAATATAAAATCGATCCTGATGAATGAAAAATCATCTTTTCACAACGTTTTATTAGCTTTATTCATTCTCTATCATGTTAGTACAGCTAAATGAAACGATAATTTCATAAAAAAGATCATAAAAATATTGAAACATAAAACCAGCAGTGGAATTAGTGAATTCATATCAGCTGATTAAAGGTCAATGTACGCGCGAACGCAAATTCGCGCGGCCCGCAACTAGCGGGCCATACCACAATACCTAATAATTTACAACACTTGTCTAAATACCTAACTTATCTACTTAGCCTATTATTTTGCCACTGTACTTGTCTCCACGTAGCCACTTTAATCCGAATTTACAGTTTAAATAACTCAAATAACTGGTTCGATTTCCCGCTAATGAAAAAATACTTAAATGAAATGTATAACTACTTAGCCTATTATTTTGCCACTGTACTTGTCTCCACGTAGCCACTTTAATCCGAATTTACAGTTTAAATAACTCAAATAACTGGTTCGATTTCCCGCTAATGAAAAAATACTTAAATGAAATGTATAACCAAGGTTAGAGTCATGCGTTTTTATTCATCGTGTAGGTATGTTTATTTTTCTCATGTATTCAGTTATGTACCTATTAGATTATGTATATATTAGATTAGTTCAGTACTAAGTTATTTAAAAAAATTAGTTATGAAACAGCCTACCACTCTAAAGCCTCCGTGGTCTTATGAGATGCGGCTCAAATTGTGGTTCATTAATTTCAAGGCAGATTTGGGCTCGGTGTTGCGTCTCCTCATGGAGGCGGGGCATCATCGTGTGGTCTTCGACACAGTCCGTACGTAGTTTGTCGAAAACATCCACGATCCTTTTGTAGTTTCGTCAGCACTATCACACTCACGATTAAAAACCCTTTCTTTCACATACCCCACAGAGAGAAGTCTAACGGGGTCAGATCTGCTGAGCTAGGTGGCCAAGCGTTTGGTCTTAATCCGCCAAATCCAGCGATCATCAAATAATTCGGTGAGGCGCTCACGAACGAACCTCACGACATATGGAGGTGCACCATCATGCTGGAACCATGTGCGGCGATATTCAGCCAACGATAGGTCGTCTAAAATGTCAACCAACTGTTCATTTATAAAGTTTAGGTATCGCTGTCCGTTCAGTCGCTGTGGCAGAAACACTGGTCCCAGTATGCGATCCTTAAATAAGCCTGCCCATACGTTAACCGACCATCGGGTTTGGTGCCCGGTTTGTCGAACAGCGTGCGGGTTAACCTCTGAATACACGTGTGTATTCCGTTTCTGGTAAATGTCGACTCATCCGTCCAGATAATGTGCTCAATGGAACCAGGCACACGTTGTTGCTGGTCTAATAACCAACGGCAGAAAACTCGTCGGCGGTCGTGATCGCCGGGAACTAAAGCTTGCACTTTGTGCAATTTGTATGGGCGCATTCGGTTACGCTTAACACTTTGTGCTTTGTGCACTGCACAGTATGACACACTTGTTCCATCCCGACGTCTTGACAATTTATTTAGCGATACTTCGTGTACCTAGGTTCGGATACCTAACATGTTGCCGTATTCACGAGCACTATAAACGTACGCGTTAGGCATTATTAAATCAAAAAAGAATCAAAAAACGTAACAAAAAGAATAATACCAACACATAATCTACAAGTAATAACAATAACAATTTAATAAACAAAACGATTGAACTGTCGTCCGCGCACGCGTGTACAAAATCAACACGGAACTGTCTCAAAAACTAAAATGAACGAACCCCGCCAAGACTGAAACCTACTGCGTCACAGCGTGAGGCGACACCAGCCGGCTGGGTTGGGCGTTCTGCCGTCATAATAAAGAAGGACGCAACTAACAAAAACGTAAAATGGAAATTAAAAATAAATAGATGACTTTTTCTTTCAGACCCTGCTGTGTCTAAAGTATATTAAAAGGTATCAATATGAAAATTGAAATATATGTAGAGACATGAAGATTTTAAAGACGAACTTATTTTTTTGATAATTTGTTTATTTATTTAAATAAAATGAATTTTCCTTTTCATCTTAGCTTAAAAAATACACCTGGCAACACAAAAACATCGAATGAAAGACTCATATAACCATTTGCGTCTTTCCAACCTAGTAAATAAAAAAACTACCATTCATTTACAATTTTAACATATTTTGGAAAGGTCATTTGAAGTTGAAAGGACGCTAATAGTAATTTACTACTTTTTTTATTAGTAAATATTAGAAAAGCATTGGTAGTTAGACACAAAAAATAACAACCCGCAACTCTTGAGTAATGATTTTAAAGGGGATATCATACAAGACTTACTACGATAATAATTAAAAATTAAAAATTTTGTACAACCGACTTCAATATAAATAATTAACGATAACTCAAAAACTATTGGTCTGACCTCGATCAAATTTATATGGGACCACGTGTGAAATACCAGCTCTTAATAATAAGGTATAAGCTCTTAATAATAAGATATAGAATAATAAGACAAGAATAATCGAAATTTAAGTAATCGATGCAAATATTGTTAAAGATGACGTAGCAACTGGTTAAATAAGTCTTTTCTACTAAAAAATGTCATCTGTGATCATTAGTTACGTTTAAAATTGTTACGATATTTTCTAAAATATTGATATTCTTGAATATTAAAAAAAAATTAGTAGATGCGCCTTCTTATCATGAGTCGAATGGTGTATTTAACTCATTTATTCAAAAATTGTTAGATGCGCTCTTTTTTCTTATGACGGGAGCATTGTTTCGCACCGAGCTATATACAGGTCTACAGTGGAGGGAGTGTGGGTACAGTCGCGTTCTAAAGTACTACATGGTATTGAGCTATTGTTTTATAATATTATAGTAATTAATTGTTTTATTATAGAATCATAACAGGTGTTTTACTAGCTACTCAGAACTTTGGAAGAGGTTGGAATTAAAAATGGATAATGTTTACTTGAGCATTATTTGTTATTTCTATCGTAAAATATAAAGTAGTTTGTAACAAGAAAACTTAAGCTAAGGGTGACACGCCGTCCATTATGTCGTCTTGGGTCACATGGAAGCCAGATGTTGATGGTGTGTAGGTGTTACTGGATGCTACTTCATCATCACTTTCATCTTCGCTTGAGCTTCCGTCATCAGGTCGATCACATGGTAATTTTTTCGGTATTCTTCCTCAACACTTTTAACTTTACTGCACAATTTTCCCCATTCAACTTCTACTATCATATTTACCTTTTCGTTCACTAGTTTAGTCATAAAACAATAGATATAAATAATTTTTCTTTCCTTCCTTTCATCCACCATCGTCGCGAGTCACAAAGTGTGCTAGTGCAAAGCTGTGTATGCGACTGTATTTTGGGAGCGAACAAAGCGCGGGAACTAATAGCGTGCGGCCACAGTAATACTGGCGGATTGTTCCCCCGTCGCGCCCCCTTCTTAACACTCACTCATAAATTGCTCAGTGCCCAGGTTCAAGGCCAGCGTCCTTTTTTCAGCGTTCGCGCGTACATTGACCTTTAATCAGCTGATATGAATTCAGTAATTCCACTGCTGGTTTTATGTTTCAGTATTATCATGATTTTTTTGATGAAATTATCGTTTCATATAGCTGTACTAACATGATAGAGAATGAATAAAGCTAATAAAACGTTATGAAAAGATGATTTTTCATTCATCAGGCTCGATTTTATATTCCACCCATCATCAAAGTTGTACTTCGTACTCGTACGTCTGTGTTAGTTTTCGGGAGCGTTCCAAAAATACCCTGTATATACCAGTATCCGATTAACAAAAACAATTCACAACCTATTCATGACTTGTTATGTTTGTGCTTTGTGACCTGCAACGGGAGAGATCCACATACAAGCAGTGGACTTTTGCGGGTTAATCAAGAAAAAGAAAAATATATGTGACCATGGGTGCTGCAAAGATTTTGAAACGTCGAGAGTAAAAATATAAAGAAATAAAATCATGTAAAAGGTGACTAATGGGATTTTGAATTTGTGATTGTGTAGACGATGTGCTAACTACTTATCACTTCCGTAAAAATTTCCATCTTTCTTGCCTAAACGTGGTCTGAATAGTTAGTTGCTCCCTGGACTCTGCCTACCCCCTCAGAGATTACAGCCGTCATTCCATGACACAGTACATAGTACTTCCAAATGCTTGCGCTAGTATCGGCATAAACCACACGAATGTTACATCGGATATTTTGTCGAATAGCGAAACGAGAGCGAGGTGCGAACGAACATCAATGTAATGTGATATTATTTGTGTATTAATAAATTATAAAATCAGTAAACACAGTTCCTCTTTTTCAGACACTGACACATGAAAAAGCTAAGACACCTGGTAAACGTTACTTCCGCAGGGTAAAAGATTAAAAATATACATAATTTTTCATAAAATACGACAATGGGTGTAAGTAATTACTCGTAACATGTGACAGGTGTATTTTAAAAGCTTACTTGTATTCCAGTAAATGTATATACTAACTGTTTTCTTAATGTTCGTAATATCTTAGCGCCCATACGCACTACGCGGGTAACAGCAATGCGGCTAGCCGTCCGGTTGACCGCAGGATGCGATTGCGAATGCGGCCAACCCGATTGCGGGCAGCCGCATTCGCAATCGCAACCTGCGGTTGAAGAATCGTTGCAATTTGCGGTCATATCAATTCATTTCAAAGATGTATGTATTTGAAAATTTTATCGGAATATTCTGGCAATTTGGTGTTCCAAATTAAGTAAATAAGTTGTGTCAAACCACCAAAGTTGTATGGGTTATCAAAAATACACAAGCCCAATGCACCACTACGTTCCATAATGAGCCAAACTGATTCACCAACTTTGGATTTCGATGATGACAGTATCCATCATAAACGTACAAAGTGCACGTATTATCGCCCAATGATGGGCAACTGCAAACTGAGCCGCACAGTGCTAAATACGAATAGCAACTGTCCAGCTGGCCGTCATTCGGGCCGCAGCCTTCCGAGCGACCGAAGCGGTTTGCGGGTAGCCACATCGCAGCGCATAGAAATAGATGTTATGTATTTTTGCTGGCGGGTAACCACATAGTGCGTATGAGCGCTTGGGGTTATAAAATTATATTCAAAATACGGAAAAATAAATCTGTTTCCTTTTACATATTTTTTTTAATTATTTTGTATTTTGTCTTTTTTTAATAAAAAGTGTTGTTTAAAATCTTGTATTATTTAGATAATTTTAAAACCCACCAACACAAAAATAACATTTTTGACATAGATTAATGATAAGTCATCGCGTGCTCTGACTAGATACCGCCGGCGCTCTTGTAAAATGCGGCAACAAATACTACGCCGAGATCGGCGTACCCGAGCCAGTCGCGTTGCAGGTAACGTGTGAGGTGGACGTACTGAATGTTTTATTAAATTTTGATCATAATGCGAAGTAAAATACCAGTTTACGTAGTGAAACTGTGTAAAAAATAATAGTACAAGAAATAAGGACACTGGGATCACATACTATCAGTATCATATAATTTTCAAATTTCAACATAAAATAACACGAGCCATAAATAAGTCACAAAATAAGAATGACGCCATTCAGTGGCTGAGATTTTTATATGCTAATTTATTGTTACTATATTTTATAATATAATATTAACTTATTGCTCAAATGACCTAATTTCCGTCTATCTATAGTAAAAGTTATTAATATTGATGCGTAGAATAGAAATAGAAAGTACTATTTTGGTTACATCATATATATATAACTATTTTTTTAAATAATATGTGAATATTAGTTAGACATGTAAATAAAAAAATTAAACTGATAAAAATTGGGCCTTATCATTTATATGTAATTTATTTTGAAAAAAACCTATACATAATATACAGAAATATATTGATACGTTCGTTATTAATAAACTATTCATTTTTAAGTATTTCTGGAATACATTCATAACTATGAACTCAACTACTAAGCCATAGCATAAAATAAATTTTCCCGTTAATCGGGTAATAGTTAAGCTGCTGGCATATACAATTTTTCACGCACATTAGCATTCTTGCAACTGTCTTATACACACTACAATATTGAGATGCCGCATTCACGGAGCTGTTACTTGCAGGTAGCGCGGTATCTAGTCAGAGCGCGCGATGATTTATCATTAATCTATGATTTTTTATTATAATAATAATTATGAATAGGCAGCCCAGAACAGGAAAATAAGAACTACTGCTAAAATGCAGCGACCTATTACTTTCTTGACTGGCTCTATGGTGTAGTGGCCGTAAGTCTGACTGCTGATCCTGAAGCCGAGACTACATGACTTTGAATCCTGAGTCGGACCAATAACTAGTTATTGGGTGACTGAAAAAGTCAAAAAATTCTAAGCAGCACCCGGTGTCAAGATGTTGGCGGTGTTGACGTGGCTGGGAAAACACGTAAAGCTGTTGGTCCTGCGCCTTATATCTTTTAGATAGTGTCGGACTCTGATTGGCGTTCTATCGAACTATGAGAATGAGGTAAAAGTGCACTTGCGCTCGAGCACACACTCGCAGGCTAACCCTGTCCCGCGGAGATGGTTAGTCTCCCGTTGACACTGACCGCCGTGACCGAAATTCGGTCTGAAGGACGTGATCGAATAAGACTCGACGCTTAGTAAGTAGTATAATTTTTTATTAGCATTAATACGATCACTCGTATTTTATAATTTCTTATGTCATACACGCTTCTACCAACCTGAAGCTTCTTGTGAATGCCCTTAAAAATGAACAATCCGGACCTTCGGGTTGTAGTCGCAGAAAAAATAGACAAGTAAATATTTATAAATTATTTATGCCAGGTTTCTGAAGTTCCCAGTTATATTTCTATTAGCTATTGATTCATTAAAGTTATCTATAGGATAAACGTCGGTTAACTGTCATAAGTCTAAATAAGTGATTAAGGACTCTTTTAGTAAGAAATTAGGATGATTCATTACTAAAAGATATATTTATCAGTGACTGTATAAACGACATCATTCCATATTTAAAAAAAAGAAAGGATCACTAATTTTTTTTGTTTTGCAATTGTTATATTTTTTTTATTTTTGAGATTTTAAGTTTAGTAGACCTTGCCGTCGTTTGTGCTTTATATTATCTACCAAATATCCTTTCTTTTATAAATTAGCAGTAAAGTTAATGTCATACTACTTGGGAAGTACTTGTAAGCGTAAAATCGTAATACTATTTAATACGTATTATAGGTACGTATTTTAGAATTTATAATAATAAATAAATTAGAAATAATAATAACAAAAGTAAACTCCAGTTGTTTAGGCCCAAACATGGGCATTTGAAACGGCATCCAATCGCGTTTGACTCAGTGCATCACCCGATGGTGTCGAGGTGAGGTAAATGCCGCCGGGGGGGGGGGGGTGCCGGCTTCCCGTGATTCCGGCTGGTGGGCTGACAGTAGCTCGACTGCAGCGGCTCTGTCGACTAGTGTATTATTTGTGACCGCTGGATCGGTTTCGCGCGACCATATTTTGGTTTTGGTGGTCTAGAATTTTGTATTTGTGCGCGTTACCTTACTATTGAATATTTGGGTTTCGTGTAAACCGCCTCGAATTGTTTTGTCTAAGTTGTACGTTTCGTGACAAGAGACTTGTATTGAATTTGAGTGATTAAAGTAGCTTCGTTTGCAAGTAATTTACGTCAATTTGTATAGTGATTGCATGTTGAAGTGCATTTTGCAATATTTAACTTGCTTGTGTGACGTGGAACCTTGCGCGCACGCCGACAGATGGTCTGGAATTTGATGCTCGCATTCCATTACGAGGGCGTGGCCCGGTTAATTGTTTTTGGAAGTTAATGTTGAACTGTAACGTCGCGTTAAGTGCCTTTTTGTGTGTTGACTATTTAGTTAGTTTTGCGTGTTAGCGAGGTGTGATTTTGAGTTCTTATTGCGGGCGTAGTATTTTAATATCGTACGAAAGAATTTTAGCTTGTCGTGGGGAACGCCGAACTTTGAGACTCGAGAAGAAGCCGCGTTCGTCCCCGTGGTTGTAAATTTGTGTTACGTGAACCCGGAACCTTGAATATTGAACTTTGATCGACGGTTTGTTACTTGTGTCGTGTGTCACTTGTTTTAATTTCGAAGAACGTTGAGTTGGTTGACTTTGAAGTTAATTAAATGTACAATAACGTGGATAAACTTAAATAGTGAAATGAAGGCAGAAATTTTCCATTGGTGATCTACGACTGGAGGGAGCGCACATTGGGAGAACATCAGCTCCGGTGGATCTTCTGTCCGATTAAATCAGGCCGTCAGGTCACATCTATAAACACTACTACACACTACTTACATACACCTCACTTATCACCTGACTGGTACCCTGTGGTCAACCCTACCTCCTGAAATAGGTAAGTGCTTGCTTATTTGTCAGCCGTTTTTTGTACATTTATCCATAGGCCGTTGGGCCCCGTCCTCTGTTGCCCGTCGATTGGATTACTGATGGGCCCTAGTCCAGTCAACCTTTGTCGGGGCAACTCAGGGCGTGAACACCAGTACTTCCAAATCAGACTGTGATAAGCTACTCGTACACATACAGTACATTTACAATTTAACATATGCTTTTACCAGTAACCCTTACTGGGAACTCTACAACTTCCTGGTAGGGCGTAATTGGGGGATTCAAAATGCTACTTTGTCCCCAAATATGTATGGCCGAGAATGAACAGGTCTTGAGATATACATACGGATTTTAAATATCAATAATCACCCAGAATTTCGTTAATTATTAAATAAAAATAAAACATCTTTTTTGGATGCTTTCTTTAAGTTTATTTATTTTCTTGAAGCTTCAACCAAGCGAATGCAATCATAAAAAGAACAAAAAGTATTCACAATAAAAATGATGGATGTTAATAAATTATTTTTTTCTTTTTTTCTTCTTACTTCAAAAAATTACTATGACATGAGACAAAAATATTTTTAAAAACTCGATTTTCGTTATTTTTTAAGATATTGAGCCCTAATCTGTTCTGCCGCATTTAAAATACGCCTTTGAAGTTCGTCAAGAGAATTCACTGGGGTCACGCAGACCTAGGCTGAGATCTATAGATCGTACTTTGACTTTGCTCAGACTTAGCTTAGGACAAACTTAGCTTTGCTTAACATAATCTTTTATTCTGAATTTATAGTTGTATCGGGCTAAGGTTAAGCTAAGCTTAAGCTGAGGCCCAGACAGTCCAAATATTAATGGATGCTTCATTCCACGCATTATGTTTTACACTTTACTGTATGAAATGTGAAGACCTTTTGGGAATATATTATTTACATCATAACAACAACACTTGTAAGAAAATAAATTATATTTCATCAATTTTTTTTTTCATACAAAAATAAAAATATTT